CCTAAGGATGCCCTGCCTCAAACCTCATTTCTCTCAGGAACTGAAAGTCAAAGTGCTTCCAATCATCCTAAACATCAGTGGACCACAGGAGTGTACAGTCAGTATCTTAAAGGAAAGGACCCCAGGCTTTTAGCGACCAGTTGACCAAGCAGCTCTGTGACCGAGACATCTACAGTGTTGCTTAGGATAAGTGGATAAACTAGCAGCTCATGGGCTGTTGGTGTCCTATATTCACCATTTCCAAGCCGGGCCATTTGAGTCTAAAAGTAGCTCTAGTTTAGACACAGTTGATGTTGTATCCCCTGCAGAGTACATTGAACTGCTTTTGAGGTGACAAGATCAGAAGTCACACTCATGAAACTAGAAAGGAAAGGATATTACCCACTTACTAAGAGCTGATGGCAAGGAATATCCCACCCCTGAAATTCAGCAGCTGCTGGCTTCATTCAAAGTGAACAACGTTTTATGAGTCTTCGCTGGAAATGATCCCTCTGTTTGCCCCCAGTTGGGGTGAGGGTGGAAGCAGAATTTCTGCCACAATTTCCCCTGCCACGAGAGCAGTATTCATGTTTACTCTTCACCAGTATTGCAATGACAGTCAAATACATTTGGTGGAATTTTAGGCATGTATCACATGCTGCTTATCTGTGGCCCAAGGCATGGGCTAAGTAGGTGTTTGTTAGTGTAAATCTGGAGTCACTGCACTGAAGTCAATGGGAAACTGAACTCAAGCCTTGGGTCATGGGCTGGAAGGAAGTGCATTGAACATCTGGGGTGGGGAGGAATGCATGAGTCACCCTGCAGCATCCTCCCTCTGGCAGATGCTTGGTGCAAAGTAAACATATTCTGGAGAATTTCGGTACACGGTTTTTCTCAGAAGGAAGAGGAGCTTTTAAAGTCTGTATGTGTAGGTGAAGGCATAAAAATACTGGGTAGATTCCATGTCTCACAGATCAAAGCAATTCGCGTAGTATGACGCTACAGCCGATGCTGTAATTGCCTTTAAGACTGAGATTTCCTAGCATGACTAATGATTTTGAGACTTCTATTTGAGACACCAGTGAGAGTGCTGATATTTTGGGTGCCTTTACCTCTGTTCCTGGACATAGTAGGGACTTATTTATACCACAGAAATAACCTTCTATTCTCCCTGATGCTGGGACAGAAGGAGCAGCCTATGATGGGACTGACTCTACCACTCTCCCAAGCTCATGTCCATAAATGGCTCTCTTGATACCAGTCGACCTTCTGGGTTAGCAGGTTGCTGGGTGAATTTTGCTGTTTGCTTTTTTTTGCTAATAAGCTTCAATTCTCATTAAGGTGTTTCCCATTCATGGCTGTTTTCACGTGAAAACATTTTTCGTTTAGCAAACAATTGTTTGTGCAGCTACATTCCCAAGTGGGGTTAGCTCTTAGTGCGACTGCTTTCTTTCCTCAATCATCTGGTATTATTTCTGATCGTTGTCTGGATGAGTGCATGCTGAGTGTGAATAATAAACCGGGAGAGGATATGGTCAGGCTAACTGGGCCTTTTTTTCTCTTAGAGGCGGACTAGGAGCAAGCTCTGGAGCCAAGGCTGGGCAGGTTGGCAGGAGTAGGGAATTTTAATTGATATTTTAAACCCTCCTGCCTTTGGCCAATTTGAGCCAGACTCCCTAGGATGTTAATGTAGTATTAAGCAACTGTGCTTTTGTTGACCCGATCAAATTTAAAACAAATTTTCTCTCATTGAGTTCCCATGAAGAATATGATTCAATCACTATCTAGTTTAGTTTAATACCTCTGTGCTAGGAATCCAACCAGGAATTTTAGGCAGCTATAGCTGAAAAATATGTGATTGCATACATTTGATTATCTTATTTAACTATGTTTCACCAGAACTGTGGCCTGGGGTATTGTAAACATGGACCCAAAACTCACAGTGTTGTGGGTGTTAGGCAACATATGAAATTTGTCTGGCGACCTGAAGAATGTACTGCTGGAACTGTCTACTTGTCCAGAATTTTGTGGCTGGATAGGGAGCTTCTGGAGAAGCTGTGCTATTTGGCTTTTCTCATCTGCTGGTTTTCAGTAAGAAGAAACAGGTGTCTTATTGACTCATGTGGTTTCATCTTTAATTGAGCTTGATGACTGCTGAAGATTGGCTGAATGCTTTTTAATATTTTTAAACATACCAGTGTTGAGGGTTGCCTTCATGCCTCCTCCCTCACTACACCACAGGGCAGGGAGGAGCTTTGGGGCACCCAGAGAAGTGTCTCTCCTTCTCCTTCTCCTTTTCCTCTTTTGTAACACTTGAAGGAGCACACAGGCAAAACACCCACAGAAACCCTGCATGCTGGCCAGGCTGAGGCTGTTCATAGCCGGTGCTGTGACCGGCTTCTCGTGTCCTTGTGTGATTGTGGTGCTGTGACCTCCAGCTGGGGAGAGGATGGGGTGTTGCTATGGATTGGATACTGTAGGACTCCATGAGTTGCAGCTGGCTCAACCTTTTTTATTGTTTCCTGCAGGTGGGAAGGGGGTGAGTTCAGTTCCTGCTAGAGGGTACTGGGAGATGGAGGATTTTGCTGGGAAAGATTAACCCTTTGACAACAGGAGGAAGAGGTGATAGGTGATAGCAGAGCACAGTTATTATAGTGGGAGCTAACTGAATCTCAGAAACAGATAGAGAGAGATTTACCTTCTTGAAACAATGAGTTGACAGTGAGTAATGGAGAAGATGATCAGTGGGTGAGGGATCTGGTTTCAGAGGTGGGAGGTGAACAGCAGGGCTATTCTTCAAGGAAATTAAGTCAGCTTCCTACTCCTTCCCAGAGCAGACATGGACTGAATCACATCGATAGCACTGTCACCCCCCCGTCTCACTCTGGCATAGCCACACACTCACATGTAAGCCTTGTAGTTGCTGCCGATTTTCTGGATTCGAATGTCATACTTGGAGTCGATGAACGGCTCGGTGGTGGCATAGGTTTGTGCCATGGCTACTATGCTGGCCATGTCCCGGAAGTCATGCTGGTTCTCAACTTTGACCTTGATTGCCAAAATCCAGTGAAACGTGACAAGAGCAAAAAGAACAGGAATACTTTGTGAGCAGAAGTCATCTTCATGCCTGAATAGCACAATGTCAGTTAAAACCCACACAGAAGGAGCTGAGGACAGAGTAGGGATTGTGCGATTTAGAGACAGAAGTTCCCCAGACCAGCCCAACTCAGAGCAAAATCAACCCCTTTCTCCTTCGTCATGCACAAGCTCTGGTAAACCTGGCACCAGGGAAGTAGCTAGACCTTTACCCAGATGGCTCTTGCTAATGCTCATTGCTTTTCTGATGCTTCAGAGAAATATTTGATCTTTTAAGGGGCATTACTTCATTCAAACATTGTTACTGCTACTTCCCATCTTGGGACGGATGAAAACAGAGTACTTTGGGTGGTCAGGAAATAGAAACCAATGCCAGGAAATCAACAAGAGAGCTGGTTGTCTGCCACCTCTAGGCTTCAGTTCCCTGGCATTTCACATTACCCCCTCCAGACTTTCTTTGAGGAGTGGTGCAGGTCTCCCAGTGGGAAGCAAGCTCTGAAGGAAAAAGATGTCTTTGGGGGAGCCTGTGATTCTTGGGGAGATTTGTCTGAGCGAAAAGCCATGGGCATGTGTGCGGGACAGCTGGCTGGGTGTTAGACTTGAGTTGCACTCGGAAATGAGAGGGCAGTGGCCTATGAGCTAGAGTTTTTCTGAGAAGCTGGCTTTTCACAGGTTTATATTCAATTATGCTTCCATTTATTTCCCCCCCCCCCCCCCCCCCCAAAAAAAAAACAGGAAAAAGAAGGACCAAAATAGTAGAAGCTCTAATGATATGATCAAATCTCTACAAATACTCATTGATTTGGGAAAGGAAAACTGAACAAGCAGGTAACGCAAACATAGTGGACAACTTCACCTCATTCATATTATCAACCTCAGTCTTTAGTCTATTGGCAAAAACTTATTTGGTGCATCAGAGAAACCCCTGCAAGTCTTGTTCCTTAGAGCCGGACGGATGCAGGAAGGGTAGGTTAATTGGTGGAAAAAAGACCAACATGGTGTGAAAAGGGTGAGCAAGTGAGTGACTTTATATATTACCTACACTTTGTAGTTTGTTAACACTTCGAGACCATGGCTGAGCATTGCAACCCTGCTTTGCTAAGCGTCTACTTGCTCGCGACAACCGGTCGGTCTGTACCCCCAGAAGGGTACAGTTGCGTCAGCATGTGTGTTAAAGGAGGGTGATGCCAGACTATGTGGAGCCAGCTGAAGGAAATGCGTGCAATGGTATTTCGTGTTTCTTCTCAAAGAACAAACAAGTGGTTTTACATATCTGCCTTCAACCATGAGAGGGCAGGAGCCATCTTCAGGAGAGAACAGAGGACAAGCTTGTTGGTAACCTGTTTTACTTTGTTTAGACGGTTTTGTGTAAGTGCCAGCCGTAACATAACCCAAAGATGCAGCCACATCCTGGTGCAGAAAAGCTCTTGAGAACTGGACAGATTGTGGGGAAGGTGAAAAGTGCAACTAGTTTGACCCGTGACCTGAGTAAGAAGAAAAAAGACCTGGTCTTTGCTTCTTTTGCTGAATGCCAAATACCCCTAGTCCTCCTCCCTTTTGCTGTGGTGAGGGCTGTGCTCTCGCTATTCAGGGACCGCTGAGAAAAGCAGCAGAGGAAGACGACAGTCGTCTGTGGGGTGGGAGGGCAGGCAAAAAAAAAAAAAGAAAATAACAAACACAACGGGGAAATGTAAAGGCAACCATTGCACTTCATCCAGGAGGAGCAGCCTTCCTCTGGGCTGTGTTGTTCCCCTCTACGTCTAAGCGGAGCTGTGTGCCGTGCTGGCTGCTCCTTCTGCGACAGGGCAGGGTGAGGTGGTAGGAATGTCCCGGCGGCAGCGGTGGGAGCAGGAGAGAGGAGCACCTCACACTGGGGGAGCCCCCAGCCTGGGCACAGCTTGCAAAATACCAGGGGGAACAATGCAGGCTGTGTCGGGGCTGAGTGTTTTTGTTGCACTGATAAGAGCTGCACTGGGCTGAATGACATCAAGCGAGAGAGTCCCACCCAGATTAGATGATCGCAGGAGGGACTGCATGAGCAGGCAATGCATGGTGTTATGATGTATTCTCCCGGACCCTTTTTGCAATGGGATAAGACAAAAGCCATTATATAATGACCTACTTGGGATAAGGACATTTGTGGGATCTGAAACAAAGTGCTGCGCTTGTGCAACAGATGTTTTTAGGCCCTGGCTGAAACATTTGCATCCCCAGCCCAGGAACATTTGTCCCAGAGGCAGAGGAAGAGATGCTGTTTCCTTCTTCAGATTGCAATTAGGCTGTATTTTCGTTGCTAGAAGGGAGCTGAATGCCCGTTTCGTTAAATGGAATTTTTCCTCAGAAATACAGCATGCTATGGAAAGGAAGGGTCTATTTCTTCCTCCTCTCCATCACCCTCCCGCTATGGAGAGAGAAGGAAAGCACTTGAAGGTGTTATGTCCAATGAGCTGAAGATTTTTGGCTTGGTAAATAAAGAGGGTGGAGACTCCCCAAGGACATAAAGTAAGAAATGAAAAACAAAGAAGATGACTTCCACAGTGCTACAGCCTTCCCATGGACTTTTCACAGAAAGCATCTCACAGAGGTCCCTTCTTAGGAGATCACAGCCTTATTTCCCACCAGGCATCAAAATAATCACCACACCAAAGCTGAAATCTGAGCCACCGTTTGTTAATTGTTAGAGCAGACCAAATTTTACAAAAAAAAACAAAAAATAACAGCCGTGTCCTGGTTTAACGCTGGTTTAGTCCAGGGTACAGTTATTACTTCATAAACAGGAAGCACTCAAGTTACAGTCAAATTAGATTTATTTTCCTGCCTTATCTATCAAGTTCACCATTTTATTAGCTTTCTACTTTTAAATTTTTTATAATTCATTTCTTCCTGCCTTGTAACCCTTTTACATGTCAATAAAATATCCATTCTCCTAACAGGAGAAAAAACCCTAGAGATAACTGAAACCAGGGTGGATGTAGTGTGACGCCAGAGGGCATTATTTAAGAAGGGACTATTAAAAATCATTCTAAAGCAAACAGTTACCAATTTACCTAATAAGGGATAAAATCTGTCTTCTAAAATGGCAGGTTGGCCAATGCATGAAACTGAGAAAAGAAGTTGGAAAGAGAACAACAGGAAGCCATTTTTCTCTCTCTTTTTTTTACAGCCTTCTTCGGATAAATGCAATATCCCATTAGCTGCATAGAGGAGTGCAAACAGTGAGTGCAAACACAGCCCCTGCCCTGTTGGCCTGTTTGCTTAGCTGTGCTGGCTGTTTGAGCAGCAATAGACTCATTTGAAGCCATCAGCTGCTGTTTGCTGTAGCGTTTTAGTGACCTGTTGTGAAGAGTTTGGGCCAGTGTGTTGGCAAATGCCTTTTCTGAGTAAGAAAGCTCCCTGGGATAGTCCCTGCTTCCCTTCTGGCTCTCTTCTCTAACCCAGGCACCGACCGTACACTAGCACGCTCCCTGTTGCTGCATTGGAAAAGGGGATCTGGCTGGATCCCTGGGGACATGCTTACACACATGTGACCATCCCTTTGCCTTGTGGTGGCATCTCAGAGGCTGATACTACTGACCTGCCCGTTCCTGTCTTCAGCCTGCTCAAGAGGCATTGATCTTTCTGCCCTTGGCTGGAGAGCATTCTGAGGGACAGATCAGGAAGAAACACTTCTGCCCCATCCCTGCTGTGGACCTTCTTTTGAGATCTTCTTGCAATACAGAATTTTGGAGGGTGGGTCCTGGCATTGTTAAAAACCTACTGTGGGTATTTCCTGGGCAGTCTGAGCCACACCTGATATCTGTGGAGCACAGATTCCTGCAGTGAGGGACTTGTGTAGAAATTTCTGCTTCCTCTCTTTCGTAGTTCCTATATCTGCTGCCCCGGGTACATCCCAGATGTTCCTGGACACCAGAGTCCCAGGGCTACGGCACTCCTCTCTCACTCATCTTTAGCCTAAGCGCTGCAAGATCTTGCCTCACAGTCCCCTTTTGCTTTCGTTAGTTACGTGGCCACATGAAAAAACAGTCAGTCAGCCAAAGTGGCATAATTATAGTAGACTGCTAAGGTTGCCCCAGCCTTGCCTCTCTGAGTGTCATCCAGAGTTAACTCTGCCTTACAGGTTAAACTCGCACCACTTTGCAGATGGCTTGCAAAAGCAGTTTCTGTGTCCAAACTGGGGTTAGAGGCAGGTTCAGCTGGAAGGTAAGTGTCCAAGGCTAAGCCAGGGCCAGGCTTGGCAACGTGATGTTTAACTGAGCCTTAGTAGGCTTGTGAAAATGCAGTCTTAGTGTTTTCCTCCAGAGGAACTGACTTGGCCACACAAACCTTGTGATTTTTTTTGTCCTTCTCAACCTGCACTTAGCCTTTCTGTAGTGACTTTATCATTTTGGGACAGCGGGTCTTCAGGAATGGCTCTGCACAGAGAGTTTCCTGAGTCTCTTCTTCCCTCTACCCCAAAATTATACTCCCCTTCTCAGAAAATACCAATCCAACTGACACACATTCAGTTTAGGTCTAACTTTGACCCACTTCAAAATAATAAAGATTCAACAGAGCCTCCATTTCCTTATTATCCTCACACTGAAGTTCTTCAGATGTTATGGTGCCTTTCATACATTAAACCTTATAACCCCTACTAACTTCCTAACGAAGAGCTTTTCTCAGCCCCAGGTCTTGGCAGCTTTGGTCCCCGGTGCCCTGGGTCAGTCAGGTTTTGTGTCCAGCAAAAGCTTCCAGACTGATGCGCAAGAAATGGGGATGCTTTTGCTATTTTCAAGATGGGTGGTACCTCCTCGCTCATGAGTCAGTGGGAACGCAGCGATTGGGCTGCTCTGTTGTGAATGTTACATGTCAAGTCATTATTTGTCCTCTGTAAAAGAAAATATTTGTTCCTTGACAAACCGAGGCAGCCCTATCCCCTTCCTTTCCTCTTTAGCCCACTGAATTTTCAAAGCTCTTACTTTTGGAACATTCTATTTCCAGTCCCAAGAGAGACAAGGTGACGAGTTGTCCTTCCTGATAAAAAGCTTGCAGTATTTTTACATTACAGAGTGGCTCTGTTTAGTTTGTGCTATATTTATACCAGGGGAAAAAAAAGTAGAGAATTCTTTCCCATCCAGTAAGAGAGAAAATAACTCTGACCACATTATTATGAACAACAAGTTTTTCTTCTACAATGTAATAAATTCATCTGAGCCAGGATTTGTACTGGGGAGGTGTTCTCGTAATTATGGGGCAGGAGGGGACAGGAGATGACTCTTAAACGGGCCTAATTAGAGAGGTCTAAAAATAAAGTAAGAGTAGCAAAATATATATACTTACTAAATTCATATAAGTATATATAAAGCCACATGATCAGATACTGTTTTTCCTCTCTTTGCAGATCTGGCAGTTGTTTCCTTCTCATGATCTGATCAGGAGGAGGGGAAGAGGCTCTTTGAGTGAATTTGCAGTGCTGGGCTCTCTTCCTAGGGCACTTCAGGGTCACATTAGCACACAAATGGCAGATACTAACACACTTAGAGCTTTATTCTTTTCCACAGGCTCTGGCATTATGAGATCCGGAGTCAGGAAGAAGTGTTATTCCTTTCTCACTGTAGTGCTCACCCAACTCAACAGATACCCCCCAATCACTTCTGGGGTAGGTAGGCTCAAACTGCACGATGCCTTGACCTCTTAGCAACTGCTGGGTGAACAATAGTTCAGTTTCGCTCAGGGAAGGACGTCTCCTCTTATTGCCCATGCATGGTTTCCTTGAAGAGTCCTTGAGTATTGTTTACCCCATGAGCCTGGGCAACTTCAATACAACATGAGAAAGGTCCTTCTCTGCTGACTCCATTGTAAACCTTGTGTAAGCAGTATTTCTGCAGATATTGTAATTGTGTAGGTACTGTATTGGACCAGCAGCACACAGAGTGCTTGTTATGATCTTCCAGTGCCGGCAAAATATGAAGTGACTCCAAATTTTAGAAGGAGGATAATGATGGTCATGGGAGGGGTTGAGGGGCATATGTCCTGTTTTCAGATGAGAAGGTTGTCTGAGGCCCCTTTGTCTCTCTGGGCAAAGGCTATTCCTGATATCTCTGTTCAAGTCAATAGAGAGGCTGTTGCTTCTGGATTTCTCAATGGAAATTGCAAAAGACGCCTTTTATTGCAAATTTGTTTTCTCCATCTCCACCTGTGCACACCACTTAGCAAGAGCATTTCTATCACTAATGGTATATTGCCACTTCCTTTAGTTCTGACCTTGAATACTGACTATTCCTCTTCCAAGCTAAAGACAGTCAATAGAGCCTGTTTCTTACAAGTACTAACACGGTTATTTGTCATTTTAGCTTTGAGGATTCTCTGTTCAACACTCTGATTAAAAAATGTGGTGAGTGAATTTTGTGAAAATGTTGTGAAAACAAATGATATGAGAAAATGAAAGTCTGACTATTATAATTATACTCTTTCTAGCCATTATTGCAAAATAATAAACAGTCAGCACTTGTTATAGTGCCAAGAGCCCTATGAACATGAATTAGCAATAAATGTCAGGTAATCATTATAATCCCTCTGGTCTGTAACACAGAGAAACTGAACAAGAACTGTGAAATGACACAAATCTCCCTTCAAATCAATGGATGAGCTCTTTGGGGAAGAGGCCTTTTCTGTATCCAGAGGTTTTTCTGGCTCCTGGCCACTACCTCAGTACAAATAAAGAATAACGGTGTCTGGACTTCCCATCTTTGCTCATTCTTCTAAGTCTTGGTGCCTCCCATTACATGTGATTTTATCATTACTAACAAGAAAAATGTAAGTACTTCTTTGACAATTTCTGCTGGTAATGAGATTGTAATCTGAAGGCTCACATCCTTCACATCCTTTGAAGCACCTGTTACAGCTACAAATACGTGACTTGCTATCTTGGCATCGTTTGTTGCAGTAAGTACTATTTTTAATACTCACATGTGTAGTTTGGCTAATAGGTTGGTTATTTTATCCTTTGTTTCTTCAGTCACTGCTGTTATACAAAACATGACCTGGTGCAGGTCCTTTACTAACATTTACTTTCTTACACTCATCTAAACCAAAAGCAAATCTCTCTCTTTTCATATTATGTATATTTTACAGCTAAAGACCTGCCATTTCCTGCTATCATCTCTACTTCTGAAGACCAATGCAAAGAAATCCTTTAGCTCTCTGTAATCTCCTTATCATCACTGGTTATTGCTTTTACATTATGATGGTTAAAACCACTATTATGTCTCCTGGAAACTTACCTCTTCTGAATTACTTAATTGGAGGTTTGATTTTTTTACCTATAGGTGTTACTTTTCTAGTATACCCATAGTTCTGCTTGTCTGTATTTCTCCTGAAATTTTCTGTGGTTTCTTTCTGTCAGTCCTGCTTGGGCTTGAACCCTATTGTCTTAAAAACAACACGAAACACATTTCTGTTACTTGTCTTTTAAACCAACTGACTTTATTTTATTTTCACTTTCTCTCTTCTCTTTTTGCTCTATGCAATGAAATGCAGTGGGACTTCAAGAAGACTAATTTAATCAGTCTCAACTTTCCTTCAGGCTGCTTGTGGCTGGAGAAGGGCCCAAACTAAAACCGTAAGGTCAACAACCTTTCCTTCCTGTACCTTCCCCAGCTACTGAACAGAGCAGTGTTGAAACTCTGTGCCCAAATCCACATCTAGACTTTGCCAGTAGTCCCTAATTTCATAATGGACTAAAGTAAACTTGGCCTAAGAGTATTCTTTCTTCTAAGATGCTGGCTGTTAGCCTATCTTCATTTGGAATGACTTCCTACGTACCCTCCTTGTACCACTGTGTACAATTGTGCCTGAAGTTTGAATTGAAACTCTTCCCCTATAACTTGTGACAACAAAAATCAACATCACTAAAGTTACACCAGGGGAAATCAGTTACGCCAGGGGAAATTTAGGTTACATATCAGGAAAAATTTCTTTACAGAGAGGGTTGTGAAGTATTGGAACAGACTGCCCAGGAAGGTGGTGGAGTCCCCATCCCTGGAGGTGTTTAAAAACTGTGTGGATTTGGTGTTGAGCAACACGGTTTAGGGACCCTGACAGTGCAGGGTGAATGGTTGGACTCAATGATCTTGAAGGTCTCTTCCAACCAGACGATTTTATGATTCTATGATTCTGTGAATAAAATGGGAGGGAAAGTGAGAGGTGGAAGAAGATCTGATGTCTGGTGCAGAAGACAATAGCTAAATATTCTGCTGAGAGTTTTGTCTAGAAACACTGTTAAGATTAAGGTACTTTTCTTTGATTCTGCCCTCATTTCTGTAGCCACTCAAGGGTCCTTTGTGCTCAAGAGATACACATGAAGCCCTCCTTACATTACAGGTGAAAGTGCAGAGCAGTCAGAGAGATCCAGAATTGGAGAATTTCAAAGAACTTGAAACTTTCCTCAGGGAGAGGTTTGTTCCTCCTGGTTTGTCCTGGTTGGATTTTGCTAATGCAGTCCTTCCTAGGGACATGTCCAATGGCTTGCTCTACAAGCAGCTCTAGATTGCCCGCATGTACCCTAATTCAGTGACACCTCTGCCTGTTTAACATACGCAGCACCAATATTTTAACAAACATTTCCTGCTTATTTAAATGTTCGTTCTTTGATGCTGAAAGCCAACTCCACCACTGGCCCAGAGATCTGAGCCCACTTCCTCTCTGGCAGCTACCATCCAGACAGGGGAACATTGCAACCAAAGCAAGAAAGATTATGAGAGCTTCCGTGTGCTATCCAGGAAGCCAGAAAGGACTTCTGTTTCCAGAGTACAAGCAAACAAGCTGTACCAAGTTTAAGTCTGACGTACCTATATATAATTTTCAGGCAAAGTGTAAGGCTGGGAGAAGGTCTAGCTGCTCTAGGGAAGCACTGTGGCAGGGATATCAGTTACGAAGTTGATGTACCACCCATTTGGATTCAGAGATGATACATCAGAATTTCCTACTTCTGAACAAATCAAGTTTTAGACAGATGGAGGATTCTTTTTTAAAAGGTATATGCAAGAAAGAGGAGGCTAAAATGCATCAGGAAAGTGTTGGCGATGCCTCACTGGAAGGGGAGCCCAGTCACCCCAAGAAACAGGAGCTGCTAATTCACTGGGGGAATAAGGATCCCAGAGAGCCTGGGAAAAACAAACAGTCCTTCTGGGGAGAGAACTGTTTTTCAGGATTCCTTGGCAGGCAACCAGCCACTCTGCTTTGTAAGGTCTTGTTCTTCCTTGCAAGGAGGAAAAAAATAGCTGAAGGGCTCCTGTTTTATTGAATAAGGTCATCATAATGCGCTCAGAAAGACCAGTGCCACTGCTCCTCATTGTGAGAGCTATGGGGTGTAGCTGCACATTACAGGTGCTTGAATAAACAACTCTACCACTCTCATGAGAGGAGAAAATATAGAAAAGACGAGCCTAATGACTTCAGCCCAGCCAGCTTTTCCCCCTACTCTTCACAACCCCCCTTCCCACATCCCAGACAGCCTCCAAACCAATAGCTGTGCCTGACTGCGTGACAGCGGAAAAAGGCCTTTTCTTCCACAGGAACAGCCAGTGCAACCCAGATAGGTTGTGGGGAAGTTTAACCCCTTCGCTGGCTGACCAAACACTGTGTATTGCCACATATATATCTGTTTCCTGCGCTATATGTATTTTTTCTTTTACTTACCTTCCCCATTCCAGCATGAGCATGTCCCAGCTTGACCACTACAGGGAAATTCGGAGTTGTGAGCTGAAAAACAAAAGAAGGCTCTCCTCATTAGTTATTTCTTTCCAGCCATTGTATTTGAAATAGTTTACTTTTATTTAGTAGCTTTTATCCCCTTCCTGGATGCTGATGGGAGGATAAAAAGGTCGAACAAAGATTGTCCAGGTGGCAGGATAATAAGCAAATAGCTCTTCACTGGTACCCATATGATCGGAAATGGGGGCCAGGCAGAATTCCTCAGATCTGACCCACTTTTGCTGCCCGATAACAATAACCTCTAAAACCTTTTTATTTCTTCCCGTTGCTTTTCCCACCCTGTACGTATGGATGTGTGTACACTCATATGCGTGTGAAAAAAGCTACACGTGCAAGCTTGAGTAAGTGAAGGCTTTCAGATGCTGAACACATTTGAATTGTGAGAAAGACAAGGGTCGTTTGTTTTTTTCCACACAGACTGCTTTGGCCTTTACTTTAAGAGTTACTTTTTGAGTGTGAGCAGTCCCTCAGCAGCTCCTGTTTCTCTCCCATTGGCAGGGTGGGGGCAAGGACAGAGGGAACAGGGGCCAACCCTTGGGTACAACTCACAAAGTCCATCTATTCATAAAGCCTCTTCCTCTCTCCTCTAACTTCAGGGGTGTGTATAGGGAATAAAAGAAAACAAAGAAGGATTGGAATCAGCAACAAAAATAGAAAAAATTACATCATGTCTTCTTCCTGGCTTGTGCGATGTTTACGTTGGGCAGCGTCCTGCCATCTGAGCCACGCAAGTGCATCTTAGTGCACATGTGGGATTTTACTTGGAGAACTGCAAGTATCCTCTCTACCTTCTATTCCCTAGTTTCATGCTCATGCAAGGATTCACTTGGAGTGATCCACTGGGAGCTGGGTGGCTGGATTGGTAGGCAATGCACATGCCAGCAGTAACCAGGATATGTACAGCACACCTCCCCTAGGTACCGGTTGGTCCATTTCTAAGCCTCTGCTTGGCATCCCTCTGATCTTAATCTTGTCCTACGCTCCTGATTGTTGTGATCTAAATGCTATCCCTTCAGTTCATAACCTGTTATTTTTTTATTGCGTATTTCATTTTCTTCAATGGGAATTTTTTAAAAGACACTTTTATCTTTACCTAAATGCCTGAAGTGATGAGCTTTATTCATTAAGCAGTTAACCTGGAGATCTGGTAATGGGAGGGAGTTGAATTTTGACAGATAAATGGCTCTCCTATTTATTTAAGTTTGAGAATAGATAAACAAATTGTTCTTGTGCTAATTACCAATTGTCTGTATGGACAGGCAGGCGTTACATGCTAAAGATAGAATGGTGCTGCAGTCTCCATCTGCGGCAGCTCGCTATAAATAACAAAATTAGCAACGAACACTGATGTGTTTTGCTGTTCAGCTGCTTATGTAAAGAAATGTTGCAGGAGAGAGAAACAGTGAGTGCATGATGTTTTCAAGCAACCTGTGTCTCTTGTGAGGACCTTCTTCAGACAGAAAACTGAAGGATCCTCTTTAGACCACAGAAGGGCACACAGCGGCAATAAATCACAGGGGCAGGGACCAGCACCTGCTGTTTCAGAAGAAGAGGCGAGAGACTGTGATAGATGGCCATCCTGGAGCCCCATAGTTAAGCCTACATCCAGGCACATGAGTTTGTGCTCTATTTCCTCTTCGCCTCTCTAATTCGTTGTAAGAGCCTGAAACTTAATTTTCTGCTGGCATAAACAAATCAAATGGAGGACTGCACCTGAGGCTTACTGAAAATAGAGCTATGGATGGACCATGCCAGGCCTTTAATGCTGGAAGATGAAAGGTAACCTAGTAGTTAGGGCATCCACCTGCTCAGGCTCTGAGAGACCTGGCTCACTTCCCAGCTGTCATCCATTCCCCATGCACACTATTTGAGCCACAGTGCTTGCAAGCCCCGGCCTCTGTTCCCTGTTTGCGAGCAGAGGCGGCAGCTGTTCCTACTGCACAGGAAAAGCAAGCTGTGTGCACGAGCTGGCCAGATACCCTGGCAAGGGTGCCAAAGAAGTGTGCGGGATAGATACTGTCATGTCACCGGCTCAAAGCAGCCAGAGGCAGGAAGCCATGTCTCTGCTGCCCCGTTTGTGTACCCTGCCTGTGGGTTTTGCTGAGGGAGCCTGGCTCGAGCGTGGGGCACGGGAGCGGGAAGCATCTGTTTTCCTGTGTACATGCAAAGAAAGTTTGGGATCCCATACACAACCCAAGTTTACTGCTAGCCTGGAAGAAACCACTGGCAGTGACAACGCTCTGCTCAAACTTCTCCCGTTCTCTTTGCTTCCTGGAAACATGAGCTCAGCTTTTGGTAAGGCTTCGCCTCATCCCTTGTAGGGGTGACCAGCTGGTGCCAGAGTACACTGGAGTCACAAGCCACTTGGGCTGGCTGTAATGCCTGAGGCTTGAGGTGAAACACAGATCCAGACTCTGAACATGAGGCAGCCTCACTGGGAAAGGTGCAGCTCCAGGGAAACTCTGGCACACTCTTTGACAGGAGCCTGCTTCTGCCAGTGAAACCCCACCAAATTTCCACCTACAGAGGAACCTGCCTTACAGAGGAACAGATGAGAGAGAGCAGCACATACACTCAGTTGCATTTTATAATGGCTTTATCCAGTGACAACAGAGCAAAAGCTCTCAATAGTCCACAGGACTAAAGCAACCAGAGTCCCTAAGCACCCAATAATGGAGCTTGGAAGCCCTTGCTGAAGTGGTGGAATCAGGATGAACCCACTGCAGTCAAGGGAGATATTGCCATCTTTCACCAGAGTCTTGTTGGGACCCAAGTCCCATTTCTGTTGCTAATAAGGTGGCCAGCCGTCATACCTGACAAGCACCTAGATGGATAGGGAAGCTGATGGAAGGAAGAATGTATTATACACACCACTGTGAGGTAATTCGCACACATATGTGGTGAGAAGTTCTGGGGGTGGCCGCAGCAGCCACAAGGGCAGACCCCTGAGATGAATATTTACACATGCTTAGAGATTTCCTGGGAAAGAAGATGCTTATAATCAATGGATGGCACCAGAGGTTAATAAGAAAAGCATGTTTTTACTGAAATCGTGCAAGGCAATACATCTGTGTCTTTCTGTGTGTTTGTTTATATGTTTTAAGGGCTCTTTTTTCTTGGAAAAATGAGGAGAAACACTTTGATGCTTTTAAAATGCGCACAAACTGTTGACAGGGCTGGTGTAGATGATGTCTGCGGGTTTTGGGATGGGACTGTAGCACTGCAGTTAGCTCAGTGATCAGACACAGGGTGTTAGTTCATATGCATAACTCAACCCTTTGAATTAAAATCCTATAAATGTATTCCCAGATGTTGTCAGACAAAAGCCTTGAGATGGCAAGGTTTACATATGTGTCTAAAACTTGATGTATGAAGATGCCTGTTTAGACTCAAGCAGGAGTCTGAATCCTGGATTAGGAACTCAGCAAAGCCACTTTTGGTAGGAGTGAAGGGACACTCATGAAGTTATTTCCAACCTACAACACTGGTGGCCCGAAATGTATAATTTTAGCCCTTGATTTTAAGGGCTCTGCTCTGTGTGTAGTGTCACTGCAAAGATCACTTTGCAGTTAATCAGTATTTTGTCACTGGTGTGTAAAAGTGAGTGCTGGCATGCATACATTAGCTCCTATTTGAAAACACATGACTGTAAACTCTGACACTTTCCCCTTTACACTCTGCCTCTCCTTTCCAACAAATAATGAGGTTTTCAATGCTTCTTGTAAATCTATGACTATTTTCTGTATTTATTGCTGGTGGAGCAGGAGAACAGATTTGGATATAAATCGATCTGCAGGGAGGAATCTTAGATGAAACCTGATCTATTACATAAATACAGTACTTTCCACTCTTTCGTTTCACCTCAAGAGAGATGCTGGTCTTAGATCTGTGGTTTTGTGTACTGTACTGTAGTCCATAAACAATACAAAATGTCTTTTTTTTGTTTCCTTCTGCCATGTTTAGTTTTGTGCATTAGTTCACGTTATCCAGCTTATCTCATATGAAGCACTTGCAGTTTCCAGTGTTACTCTTTCTTCTGCAAAGCCTTTCCAGTCAATGCTAAAATGATTAGTCCAGGGTGCAATGACATCATGGATGATATTAGGAAGGATTTGGGGAGACGGGAGGTGGAAACATTAAAACTTTGCCCTCTTGGCATCAGTATTGTATTACGATAGTGTCTATGGGCCCAAAGCTCATAGCACAAGGTACTGTAATTTTTGCTTCACCCTTCCTCCAGAAGTAATACTGTAATTTTTTCATGCTTTTATACTCTAAAAGTGACCCTTCTGTTTATTTAGCTGCCTTTACTTGTATGATGACAAAATCTGTTCTGGGTGGGTACCTAAAGGATTATGGGAATGTTGTTCATGCACTTGAGAGCTAAATGTTGAAAGTCATGTGTGTGGCACTTCCCTGGTGCCCATTAAGCTGGAGGAGCAGTCACTATATATGATTTCCTGTAAAAGCAAGCAAGCTGATTCAAACCTACAGGAAAGTAATGATGTCATGACATGATGTCATTGGGTTTATAGAACTATCTTACTGAAAATCTGAGCTGAAGATCAGCACTGGTTGCATGCCAGCCTTGCCAGGCATGGCAAAGTCAGGGCTGTATGGTGAAATACACCAGAGAAGCACTAGTGCTCCCTGTTATTCACTTACTCTGGAGTCAACGTAATCACCAAGTCCATGTGGAAGGGGTCACTCAGTGGATTAATACTGTAGCCTCTGGAGGTTTGTGGTGACCAATGACTATGACAGACAAGTCCTTCCCCTCTGCTGTTTACCAGATCGGAAACAGTGTAAGAAACAACAAGCAACGATGGGAGAACATGTTGAACAATAAGAGTTGCCAGTATTAACATCTGCGCTCTATTAAAGACATGTGATATGGATTCCTTTAAAACACACATGTGCATATTGATTACTGTATTATAATTATAGTACAATGAAGAAAAATTCATTAGCTGGGGAAAGGAGGCCTA